TTCTCTGATTTGTTATTTAACGTTGAAATCCCCTTTCATTAATAGATTTCCAATTACAATAGTGTTCTTCTATGTACCATTTGTCAAATTAAAGATAACGCCTAGACCATTTTGGCTCAGGTGAAAAACATTCACCAGCAAAATATTCCGTATCCACAAGTTTCAATAATAGGTGATTTTTAATCCAAACATAAACTTTGTTTCATCCTTTAAATGCTGAAATTATTTCCTCTAATAAAATTGTGTTATGTTACCATAATTGTGTAGTACATGTTGACCCAATCTCAATCAATTTTACTATTTGTAAATGACCTGGGATCGGTCACAAGTACATGGTTATTAGATAGTAATTTCCAACAATATGCAAGAGTTATCACAGTGAACATTCGAATTTTCATATCATGCTCGAAAAAAAGCACTATACTAATATTGAAATCTTCACATCCATTCAGGTAGGATATATGATTGCGATTAATCAATGGTTAGTGTGAACAAAATAATATAATTTGTAATATTTTTTTTGTGTTGATTAATTATTTGCTAAATTGTGATATTTATTTATTAGTTGACCCGTTACAAAATTGAATCAGTACTATGATTTAAAATTATCATTTATACACACAAAAATGACCTGCAGGATTACTCTTTTTCTATATATATATACATCATATATTTTATTTATAAGAAATATAAATCGCTTGTGTCATCATTTCTATAACATTTAAATAAAATAAAAATGTCTACATTATTTGCATCTACTTGCTATATTATTAATATATTGGTTGACACAATTTGGAAATAAACTACTTCTTCACCCATCATTTACATTCTGCAGAATTATGTTGTCATCTTGAGTTGTTGTCGGTCTTTTCAAATATTTATTTATGTATTTCATCCTTGTTGTGTTGCAGAAGCCATTGACTGTCATCAATCTGCACATCCTAGAACTGTGAGTTATCACCAATACACAACTTCCCTAAGCAATCCCCCATTTTAGTGAATTGATTAGTTTTATTTGTCTGTGCTTTGTTTCTTGTAATTATTTTGAGAAGTATTAAAGCCAGGAGATTTAATTTGATATTTTGGAGTATGTGTATTTCGTTTCCAGTACTATTGTCTTGTCTACCCCAGTCTAGCGGTGAAAGAACCCCCTGTCCAATGCAAGTTCTGTGGTTGATCCTCTCAATATCAATAAGCAGGCCTTACACTGTGACAGTGAC